AACTAATCCCTACTTCGATTTTGATTATCGTATCTGTTATATGAAAAACTTTTCCTAGCAATGTGTAAAGAAATGACAAAACAATGAAATGGGTTATGGTAAGATGCACTTAGAGTGTTCACTCACAAATAACGTCGGTTGGCATTTCTTACCCTTCTTGAAAAGTTCTTGTTATTGTAATGGCTATTTTCGTATCGTATGGGTATAATATGGGCATTATTGAATTATCTGTCTTTCCCTCAAGGGCCAACCTAATCTAACAGATATGTTAAATAGACTCATTTTATATATACTGTAACTTAAATTGAGTGAGTATATTCATAAAAACATATTGTACTAACTTACCGACATGAATTACTAAAGTGGCACAAAATTATAAAATGGTATCGTCAATTTGAAATGCTGAGAAGAAATTCCAATTTGATACTATTAAGAAGAACAAAATTAAACCAGATTCCATGTTTCCACGAATCACTAATACTCTGAAACACTAGAATCACGCTAAACTTAATTACTACAATATCACAACCCATAATAAAAAGTAATAACAGAAAATGCAGCCACCCAGCAGGAGCAAATGATCATCAGCAAACAATCACGACTTTTCAAGAACATCCCACCTTTCTGAATATTTTCACAACTCTCCGCAAAAGTTGTCTATTGAAATGTTGCCACCACATCGTCAAACACATTTAAAAGGAACTAAGGCACTCAAAAATAACTGTAAAATAATTCTCCAAAATTAACACCTTAATCAAGTTATTCAGTATCTTCCGGAATATTGTACCCATCACATACAATAGTTTTATCTTAATAACATCACGTTTTGAGTCACATCGCCTCTGTTCTGCTTTCATAGAAATGCAAACTGCGAGACGTCATAGTAACACAACAACATCACAAAGTGGGTAATAAAAATTGTAAGTTCATCTAAGTTCACTAAACACATTCACCAACCGACGGATTATCATATCCCTGTAAACTAGACCCAGTAATGGCGTCTACATTATTCATCTCATAGATATGAAAAATATACAAATAGGGCAGCCTCATCATCTATGGTGGCAGTACAAGACATGCTTCAACTTAGATTTAATGGGTAGCGTAATGGTGGGGATGAAATATATATTTCCATCCCTTAATTCTACAGTTTGAAAGTTATACTACATAGTCCCTAGGAATTCCTATTATACATATGATTGACATTGTTGACTTAGCACGAATAAGACTTATGATTCAACCAGACTCATTATTCCCTTTCCCTCCACAACCTATAGCACCTCACGCAATGATGTGTCGTATATTATTCTGTAAAAACATAATAAATATTTAAATTCATACTACACTAGCACACTGCAATAAAATAAACAACTAAATATACAAATACAATTATTTCATACAAAAGCCAATTACCTTTAGGGCAGTTCAATTAACCATGGAAGTTCAACAGAATGAGCAGTCCAAAACTAGAGGTATGTTTATCATAATGATATTTCAATGGAAAACAACATCTAATAAGCTAACTTAATATTATAATTTATAATAGCATCATGAATTTCTTGCAACGGTGTGTAAGCGCAAAACACAGACAGATGTAGAATGTGCATTGAGAAGGGTTCACAAAAACATGGAAGCAACTAATCGAATAAAAGATGCCCACTTTCACGAACCAAATGTGAAAAAGCGGAGAAAATCAGTGAAATGTATATCTATATTAGAGACGAATGATGATAGAGGTATCTTTACTACAAAAATCTACACCTACAACTATACAAGATTAACTGACTGCACAAAAAAATAATAGCTTCCATCTATATATTTTTATGGACTATCTTGTAGGGGTTACTAATGGAAATTTTACAACAACATCAACTCATAAACTGGAAAAATAACTAGACAGCACGTATTTCCGTGCTATGAGGTTTTAATATGAGCCACCGATATTCTATTGCACAGGTGGATATATCAATTTAGCACCCAATGATGTAGCAAATGACTTTTATGAATTGTATGTGGATGATTCAGAAGAAGCGAAGTCATTTCGTAAAAATATGCTTGCATTGTCACACCCAGAGAGCACACCTTGGATGAGACCGGCGTAGTCGTCCTCTCAGAGGACTAAGACACGCCTCTTAGCATTCGTCATAATTTGTCATCAGTTAAAATTTGCGAAAAATTAAAAAGTTTTACATTCTACTTGAAATATACTTAGACTTCATACTTATCATTCATAAACACTACGATATTCTAAGAAATTGTCTCACATATATAAAAACATCTAAAGAGTGCAAATCTGGATTTAGCCAATACATTGTCAATATGCCATATAGGCCTTAATACAAAAGATTCCAATGAAACGTGATGGAAAAAGGATTTCGTTATATTTACTGAAGTCTTCCTAAGCTGGAAAGTAAGTGATAGCGCCCCGAAAATACCTACAAGATTTGGTGAAAGAGTTCCAAGCTTCTTCAAATCGACCTCCTTAATTCAATGGCCGGAACCTACAGTTGAAGTAACATAAAGTAATGAGGTTAGTATGCCACATGCACGATGTATGGGTATATGCACATAACATATAAGAATATGCATGAAGAGGATCATTTGTCGTTTCATTAGAAAACATGCTAAGTCATGTGAACATCTTCAATGCACATACCATAGAACATATGCAAGTCAAGAATTCCATCAACAAAAGCATGATTATAATTAAAGACATATTATCATAGACTCATGTTAACTTTTCATATTCAATAGATCATATAATATAGAATACAAAGACACTTACCAATGATATCATCCCAAACCTACAAGTGCAATGGTCATGTGAAGTCCCATAACCCCCACACAACCAAGTAGATAAGATAGGAGACCATAAGTAAAGTTTTGCTTCATATAACTTGTAACATAATTAGTCATCACTTTATATAGCAATATAACCCAATAACATATTTATCATAATGACCAACATCATATAAGAGTATCATAATGTATCATAAACATATTCTTTTCATGTTGTCATATTTCATAAGAACAATCTCCTAGGACTTCCCTTAGAGTCAACTTGTGCAATGTCTAGGTAGAGTCTCATACCCCTACCTCTACTAAGTAGACACCTCAAGCCATCCAAGTCAACGTTCGTTTACTTGTCATTCATTTTACATGAGGAAACATACGCCTTAACCGACATAGACCGTGTGAGGTAAACATGGAATCTGGTGTAATAAAAACTAATAAAGAAAAAAGGTGGTCTACCGGCCAAAGTAGAACCTGTCATGACGTAGCTTTCTAGGTGGATCCACTAGCTAGTATCCTATGGTGGCGACATAGTTCAAGAAATAGGAGATATATTTGAGACCCATAGTACCACATTACATGGTAGCCTCAATCTTATGAGAGTCATTATGAACCTACCTCCCTGCTAGGGAAGAGATGTGAAGGGACACCTCTCATATCTAATTTAACAGTGCTTATCTTAAGTCCCTTTCTTGAAATAACCTTTGAGTTGGATTTTATCATAAACTTATCATAGGTCATGGGATATTAAATCCTTGTATAAACATAATCATGAACTCTTTGTGATTAAATGAGAATTTCCTTTCATCATACCCCTTCGTATGGAGATTAACATAACATAGTCATATTATGTAAAGCACACAAGACAATATCGTACCTTGCATTTATCGTGTTCATTTCATGATTACACAAATAACATGTTCATAGCCCAACATCTACAGATAACAACATCATATATACTTTCGTAACATAACCTCATGATATATAGGCTAGCATAAACATCGAAGAGTAATCACAACTTTAGAAGAATTACCTCTTAATTCCAAGGATCTTATTTCAAGAAATTAGTTCCATTTAAAACATTTATAACCATATAATAGTGAAATACTTTAATTTTCATAATCAACAACAACTCTTCAAATCATATACAAGATCAATGTGTAATGTAGGGTAAAGGATAAGGGTCATTTAAGAGTTCATTCTAGTCTTTGTTCCAATCCCTACGTTTTCATATTATCGAGTAGTAGAAACCATCATGTAAATAAGAACATACTTCACACGAAATTAAAACATAATAACAACATAATCATCAAAAATCGAGTGGAATAGAATATAGAAAAAACTTACTTTTCATTAAAAATCGTCAATCTAGGGTTAGGGATAAAATTTGTTTTGTAGAGTAAAAACCGTAAAATTGAAGTTCTTGAAAACTTATATTGAAAGGATCTCTTGGGAAAAGGAATACCAAAAGTGAAAAACCCATACCTTATACATGAATAATCCATGAAAATAAGATGAAAAGCTTTGGGTTTTTGTCTTATTCCTTAAGCTCTTCTTGTTCTTCAATGGAGTTTGAAGAAGAGAGTGTTCTTGAGAGAATGAGAGAAATTTCGTTTGATCTGGTTTGGGACGTGTAAAAGTGGTCTAAATTTGGCCTAATGTCAATATATATCCGTCCTATGAATTATCCAAAAGACACTCCACTTAAATGAGTCTTTTTAATAAGTTAAATTACTAAAAATATGAATTTAACGATTCTGGGAAGTAGTTGCGTGTCATGTGGACAAATCCCTTAATTTTAATTAAATTTTTAGTTCAGGCAGTAAGGTGCGTGTCGGCTTCGTGTCGCGAGGTTGCCTCTCAAATCTTGAGGCTGCCTGCCCATACATGTTTGGGTCCTCCCCAAGGACCCTTCGGGTGGTCCTTGGGGTGTCGTTACCGGACGTTTGAAACCTTTGTACTACATACTACCTAACCAAGTCAAATTTACATGTTTTGGACTTTATTCGACACCTCAAAAAATTAACCAAACATAGGGATGTCAACTAGTTGAAATTAGTTAGTTTCCGGACGTCAAAGTCTTTCTTAGTCGTTTTGTCTCTAACCTTTTCCAAATGAGTTTAGTACATTTTTATAGGTCTGGAAACATCAATTTAAACATTATTTGATGGATTAATATCTAGTCTATGTCATGGAATTTCCGGAGTGTTACATGCGTATAATAGAATATTTGCTTTTACATCATTTGGAGTTAAGATCGATAAAGACTTGGCATCTTTTAGGAAAGGAGTTTACATTTTAAAGGCAAAAGGTCAGATATATGATGATCTACCATCTTTACTCCGAAAGAATGATAGACCATGATACAGTCAACTATACTTTTATGATACGGACCATGAATTAGACAATAGAATCTCAGTACTACAAGATGTCAATTTGTTATAGGAACTCATGACAAAAATAAGAAATATAATGGAGAGGAATCCATATGTAGAATCCTTCACCCAACTTAAAGAACATATAAACTTACAAAATATAGAAATATGCATAGCCGCAAATGCTTCATTAGATCAAAGTGTCTATAACAAGCCCTCAGTGTATCAGGTTGCTGCAATTTGGGTAGACGGCAACAATCCAAATATACCATTTGATAGAGATATTGTTGTACATGAGCACTCGTGAAATAAACATCGCGTAAAACATTATTATGGGTATTATGATCCGCTACATTATTCTATAATACTGCCCAAAGGAGAAGAAGGTGGCATCAAGGAATACAGAAATGTCACAATAGAATCAACAACATCAAAACAGCTACAATTACAAGTATCAAGACAAGTAGACCATTATTCACAACTGTTGTGGGGATCTTGGCCAATGAAGCACAAGGTAAGCACTTTTAAATATAGCCAAGAAAAAATAATTTTTTTCTGACTAACATATTACAAACTGTTGAAAATATACAACTATTGATAAACTTATATGGATAAATAATCTAAGCTTACTTCTACAAAATTCATATAGGTGTGCAACGTGACATAAAAGGTTTGGTGTCCTGTAGGTTGTGCTAATGTTATAAATTACAAGTACGATCAGGTGACGAATTCATATTACACAGTGTGAAAGATTGTTCCATTAGTTCGTTATTGACATTTACATTAAGATAGAAACAGCCATACTTGAATATTATAGATTCGAGCAATCAAGTTATCGAAGGGAGATACTATAAGGTATTGTTGATAGTGTAAGTGCTGGTGAGTATAGAGGAGACAAGTTTGGACAAAGGGTATTACTACTAGGATCGTTTATTGGAGAACCTAGGAATATGAGGCGACGACATATTGATGCGATGGCTTTGGTCGAAGAATTTGGGAGACTAGATCTATTCATCACCATGATATGTATTCCAAATTGGGTTGAAATTAAAGAAGAATTGCGTCCAGGAAAACTACCTCAAGAGAGACCTGATCTGGTTACCAGAGTGTTTAGACATAAATTGCAATACTTGGACTATAACATTTTCAAGAAAGAAATATTTGGACCTATTGCAACACATGTTTTAGTGGTAGAATTTCATAAGAGAGGCTTACCACATATACACCTACTTCTACTATTTAAAGAAGAAGATACAATCAACAGATGAGTATGACAGATACATTTGTGCTGAAGTCCTTAATAATGTCACACATCTACAATTAAGGGCATTAGTTATCAAGCATATGATGCATGACCCTTGTGGGGAGAAACGTAAGAGCAGCCCATCTATGAATAATAGACAGTGTAAATTTCACTATTACCGAACCTTCAATGAAAATACAAGGAAAGGATGGATATCTGATTTACAAAAGACGAAACGATGGGAACACAAGTGAGGTACGTGGCACAAAGATGAATAATCAATGTGTGGTACCTTATTTCCCATATTTGTTGATGCGATATAACTGCCACATTAATGTTGAAGTATGATCACGAGTTAAAGGGATAAAGTATATGTACAAATATGTGTAGATATATAAAGGAAATGATAAATATGTTGTATATATAGAAACTGACAATGGGAAATATTTTTAAATCAGACGTTTTCCAGATGCACGTTGCGTGTCAGCACCAGAAGCAATGTAGAAAATATATGAGTTTAAATTATCCAAAATGTAATAAGATGTTATCAGCCTACAATAACATCTTCAAGGGAAGCAAGCAGGTATTTTACAATATTAGGACATAGAATAGATATAAACAGATTAAAACAGAGAAAGTGCGAGACTTCATATAATTCTTACAAAACAATATGTAGTCTGCTACTGAAAGAATAAAAATCTAAAAACTATTGTGGGATCAAAATTTGTAACCCAAACTATGGTTACAAAGTAGTTTAGGACGTGGTCTATAGACATTGACACTTACATTTATCTTTATCAAGAATTCGCAAAGCATTATGTATGGAACTCCCAATCATAAATATGGATAAAAAGAAAACCGCGCACAATCATTAGCCGCATAAATATTGTTAAGACCATTACAATTAAAGCCTATTTTAATTCATGTCACAAAATGAAGATACTAAGTTAATCAACTAAATAATGCACCGAATTCTAAAGAAGGAGAAAGGTATTACGAAAGAGTATTTTTAATCATTTAAGAGTAGTCACGTCATTTTAAGAGCAGTCACGTCATATGAATACTTACTCACTATTATGGAAAGCAATGTCAAACTTTCGAAGAGGCAGCCAAAGAAAGAGGGCTATTAGAATCAGATAACAACATTTTAGAATATTTACGAGAGGTTGTCACCTTCAAGATGTCCGCCGCTCTTCAAAGTCTATTCACTACAATATTAGTGCATTGCAACCCAATGGATGTGTGAAATCTCTAGGACACATATTACACTGATATGTCTAAAGACTTTCGAAGGTACCATTCATGCAAAAACGAGGCACCACTCCAATGTACCTTGAAAAGTATTAATGATTACTTGGCAAGTATGGGATGAAATGTTGACAAATATGATATACCCCAAATTAATAAACAATTTCAACAACCAAAACCACATGAATGTAGAAAAATAACGGAAGACATGAAAGTAAATGTGACAGACGAAGATGTTTTTGCGCAGTCAAAATTAAATAAACAAAAAGGCTTTCAATACCTTTCTCGAAAGTGTAAACTCAAATAAATCAGGATTGTTCTTTGTAGATGTGCCTGGGGGAACCGGGAAGGCTTTTATGTATCGGGCATTACTGGCCAAGGTTAGATAAGAAGGTACGATAGCATTGGCATCTACGACCAGTGGTGTGGAAGCAACAATATTGAATGGAGGCCATACAACACAATCAAGATTTTGCATACCCCTGCAAGAAAATGAGACAACAATGACAAATATGTAAAAACAAGGGGGCTGGGCTAAACTCATTAGACTAGCAAAAATCATACTATGTTACAAAGCGCCCATAGCTAAACGATATACAATTGAAAATGTAGATAGAAGTTTTCGCAATATAATGGTTAAAGATGCACCTTTTGGAGGTAAAATCATGGTGTTTAGAGGCAACTTCCGTCATGTTTTGAAGTTGTTGAAAAATCTACACGTTCAGAGACAATGAATGCAAGTTAGATGAGGTCGTATTTGTGGCCTTTAATGGAAAAGATAAAGCTTTCTACAAATATATGAGCAACAACAGATAGAAGTTTCAATGAGTTCTTGCTTTGTATTGGTAGCGTAGAAGAAAAAACTTTTACAGAAAATTTAATTGCACTACTAGAACATATGATTGTTCAAACAAGTCAAGATAGTAATCCAGAAGAATACTTGGTAAGGGAAATATTTCCATTGCTTAAGGCTAATTATAAATCGGCAGAGTATATAACAGAACAGACAATCAATGCAAGTAGAAATGAATTTGTACATAACCTGAATGAATTGACGATTTGAAAATTCCAAGGAGAAACAAAAACATACATCAGCTATGACTCAGCAGAAGATGATACCAACAACTACTATCAAGAAGAATACCTTAGTACCTTAATATCAAATGGACTACCACGTTATAAGTACATTATCTCATACATCAAAACAACCACATATCTCTTATTATTATGCTAGCTCATAGCGCAGATCGGCAATAAAATATTGTATAATCACTAATATGTATATATTGATGAATGATTACATTGTATATCGTAGGTTAGTACTAAAAAAATGCGCCCATAACGATGTTGAGAAATTTAGACCCTACAAATGGTTTGTGCAATGGTACGCGATTGATTGGTAGGGGTTTTGACAACAATTTCATACATGCCAAAATAACAACAGGTGAATAGGCTAACAAGCAAGTGTTTATTCTGAGAATACAACTATCACCGCCCGAGAATGAAGGTTATCCTTTCAAATTTCTTCAGAATAATTTCTAATATGTTAATGTTTTACAATGACAATAAATAAGGCACAAGGTCATACAATACCAAATGTTGGATTGTACCTACCACAATATGTTTTCTTCCAAGATCAATTGTACGTAGCACATTTCGAAGGAATATCTATGGCAAAAATAAAAGTATTGGTCATGACTAAACAACCCGATTGACACCAGGGTACAACACAAGAAATATTATCCACAAGGATGTACATGAAGAGATTTGATTAAGAAAGAAGACATTACTTTTGTGTGTATTACAGTAAAAAACTATACAGTACAATGATTAAATAATAGTGAACAGGGACGTGCTGATTAGGACAAACCATAACTAATACGCCATACTGTTAATTCTGACACAAGTGGTTACTAAGAAATAATGTAGGAAAACATTAACAATAAGACACACTACCATACATGTCATATAACAACAACCAAGTTGAGTTTTAGGTGGCTAGACATAGCGTAATGAATACAGAATTACACAGTAATGTTATGTAATACTGTAATGTATATTAACAAAAACCTTTTCACTCAATACATATCTAAACACTACACATACATGTCTGCCACCCATGCACATCACGTAATCACAATCCTTAAAAACTAAACACAATCCCGAAAAATGGCTTCCAAGTCTAGCATTGCAAAAAATCGCAAAAAAGTATCCCACGAAAGACAAAGCTACTAAATATCCAATCATTAAAAAAAGAATGCATATTTTGCAATAAACAAAAACCAATATCATAATAAATATACAACACCAGGAAAAAAAAAGCGTACCTACCCCTTGATATTCTATAACCCCGGTTACACGTTACTATAACACACACTCCTAAGAGCCTTTGAAAAATTCAAGTCACGAATCAACTATAAGACAAAATGAAGACAACACTCCTCAGTTTGACTACAACTTGATAAAAGCAGAAGACAGCGAACAAGTAAAAGGCCTGGTACAAACCGCAAACGAAAATCCAGAAAAAAACAAAACAACACATCTTCGAAATACTCCCACACGCACACAAGTCCACCACTACGCTTGACAGACTGCGGTGAAACGAAAACATGACTGTGACAAACTCCATACGTAGAAACCACGTGCAGCGCACATGCGGTAAATCTAGTGTGTGTGTATATATAATTTAAAGCGGAACGGGTTTGAATGAACTTCTTGTGTCCCATAGCTTCAACCAGGAAAGCAATCATTCAATAACTAAAGTCTTTGATGCCACAATACTCTTGAATGTAATAAATGTCAACTTTTAAGATTTCTTGTGTCATTAAATTTCAATTATAATAGTTAATTTAGTATTTACAGTCAATGGTATTTACATGTATTTACAATAATCTAGAGCATTAAATGCAATCAGCATATTCCAAAATACCATTATGGGGATATATGATGTTGATTCTCTTCGTGTATTTTTTGCTAGATGGTAATTGTATTTGTCTTAGTTTTTTGAGATTGTTTCTATTCCAAAAAGAAATAAATAAATTTATGAATTATAGTAAACCCAATACAAGTTCAAATTTTAAATTTATAAATTTTAAATGGTGTCTCCGTATTATAACAACACATATTTTCTCAAGTGACAGATTTAAAATACATTATGATTTATTATTTTGTTACACAAATTTTTTTGTGCTGATTCTAGTTTCTATACTAGTTTAACTTTTCTACTTGTGAAAATGTTTTTAAACTTTGTTGTGTTTTAACAAGTTCTTCAAAGTTTTTTTCTAAGTATCTTACAGATAAAAGATGAACAACACATGTTACTTTACATGTTTTAACTAGTGCATGAATAAGAGCTTGTAATAAAGATTTTACTCTACACTATATTTAGTTTGTTGAAGTTTCCTCATGAATAAACCTTGAGATATGACGGTTCTCCTACTTAGGTGTAAGAGCGGGTACTCGCACGACCTGGTGGATTGGGTCGTGACATTATTGTAAGAGGAGGTGGATAATTAATGGCAATATGAATTAGAAAATTGAATAATAAAGTAGTTATAAAATATATCGTAAAAATTATTAGGAGAACTAATAATAACGAGTCCTAAAGTATATGCTAAAATAAATATATTTTTAAAGTTAAAAATTCTAAAAATGTATGGTAAGTGAAAATATATTGTGTAAGAGTTCTAAGATATTGGAATTGGCCTTAATTGTAGCTTGTTTGAACTTTGTCATTTGCATACTTTAAGATGTGAAGGATCCAATAAGTATGGTTGTATCAATAACTTAAATTATATAATCACATATTTATATTGGTTATTTTGGATATATCAATAGGCATATTAAGAATTTTCATGACCCCGAAAGTGAGTTCCTACTACAAACCTGTAAAATCTCGTAATTCGAAATAGATAGGAATAAGTTAAGAAACTAAACATTATCACTTTTGAAAAAAGGGAAAATCTGGAAAATTTTCAAAGTAAGAGCCAGTTCTTGATATGGTTTGAAATCCGTTGGAGAGATCTTTCCAACGCGGATGAATTTGTGAATTTTTGATATCGTATGAGGGAGATATGTCTATCAAAAGTTGGGTTGCTGAAGTGAGGAAAGTCCAATTACGGAATTAAGGAAGGGCAAACTAGTCTTTTTACTCATTTATTTCCTATTTTGTTGTAGCGATTTATTTGGGGTACAAATAAGTTTTAGTTAAGACTAGAAAAGTTATTTTACACTTGGGGCTTGGAGAGAAGAGAAAAGAAAGTGAAGAAAGAGAGAAAGATCAAGGATTCATCAAGAACTTTAATTTCTGATGATCCTTCGGGCTAGTTTTCAAAAAGGAGTACTAGATTTATAAAATGAATCAAACAGGGAAACTTAGATTTCCAAGATAGCATTTGTCCTATGTTTTGAAAACTAATCTCAAAATATAGAAGAAGCATGTTTTAACAAAATAAGCTCCAGTACATTTTGTGAGTAGTATTCAGCACCAAATCGGGAAAGAGCATGAGTTTATATAACTCAATTTTTCTTAAAATTATATAGCCACCATGGGTAGAAACGGGTCATCTTTTTAGATGATCCCTTTTGACAATAGACTAGTGGATCCATTAGGGAGTTCGGGTCTTATACAACTATCAACCTGATGATGCGCTTGCATCATGAGGTAGATAATTGTATCATCACTATAGTTTTTAAGTGATGGTTACCGATTAGAGAAAATCCTGCAAAAGCTAATTATTTTTATATACATCAGTTTATTTGAATTTTTACATATATCTCCGATTTTACAACATTTTTAAAACCATTTTTTCTTTATTTTGCACTTGTTTTAAATTGTTTTATATATAAATGAATTAGTTATTCATGAGTTTAGCAGAGTTAAGGTAAGTGATCCTTCTTATTTATTTTCAAGTTTAAGTATTTGTTTATCATCCCAACTCGCATACTCGTTCAATCAATGTACAAATGCTAGTTGGCCTGCATCCCATCATGATGCTGACTGAGGTAAATAGGATTGGCATTTGGTGCACTTTTGATCCAGTGAGCAAATCTAAGTCAGTTGGTGAGTCTCCCTTCATTCCAAAGGACATCTTTGCCATTCAATTATTTTCTTTCAGTTTTTGGTTTTTAGGATTATTGGGGTCCTGTCACAACATCTTTCTTTTCTTTAAAGCCTTCATAGATAGATAACATTAGTATTTCATCTTGTCAATTATAGTTGGGTATGCTTAAGACTTATGTTGCCATTTTGGAAAAATTATTACTTTATTGTTACTATTTTTGAGTTATTGTCTTATGTTTATGTTGTCAATTGATTTAAAAAAGCCAGGCCATAGGTTTGTTTTGGGACAAGAATAATCTTCGAGTGTCGGCGACGTCCGTGGTATAGCCTCGGGGTGCGACAAACCTGTTATCAGTACAATGAGTTAAGGATTCCTATGGAGTCTATAAAGTCGTGTCTATAGGGTCCTTGTCATCAGTGTGAGCGTGCCACATCTATAAGTAGGAGGCTGTAAAATTTAGGAATCCTTACTTCTTTCATATCCCTTTTCCTGTTTTTAATGTTTATCTCTAAAAATCTCCCCTCTAATTCGTGCTTGCACGTGTTTCAAATTATGATGCCTCCATGAAGAGGAGTTAAAGTTCGTCTAGTTAAGAGGAACATTGAAGAACAAGAGTTATGTATGCACCTGTAGTAAAACCACAAGGAGAAGTTACTAATGTTGCGTTCAGAGATGCAATTACGATGCTAAGTCAAGCGGTTACAACAAGGTTGATCAACAAAGAGGAGCTCGACAAGAAGGGGCTGACAATTTAAGGATTCATCAGTTTTGAAGATGAATCCCCCAAGTTTTACTATTTTGAGAACTATTGAGGATCCATAAAACTACACTAAAGAATTAAAAAAGGTGTTCAAGGTGATGCGTGTTATTGGCACTAAGAGAGTTCAGCTAGTGACATATCAACTTAACGGTGTTGGTAGGACTTTGTTTGATCAGTGGAAAAAGGGCAGGGATGAAGATACACCATTGGTGAGATGTGCTTATTTTGAGGTGACCTTTTTGGGGCATTTCTTTCCCCGAGAACAAAAAGAGTCTAAGGTATGAGAATTCCTCACATTTAAGCAGGATTGTAAGTGTTCATGCATTTGGGTTGAAGCTCACCCAAATATGCCGTTATGCTCCAGAGATGGTTCAAGACATGAGGAGTAAATTGAATTTGTTTGTTGCTGGGTTAGGTCCTCTATCAAGGAAAGATGTCCGGCCTGGAATTCTTATCGGGGACATGGACATTTAAAGGTTAATGGCCTATGTGCAGTATGTAGAGGAGGAAAATCTTAGGGATAGATAGGAGTTCAAGACCAAGAGGGAAAAGATAAAGAATGAATTTGGGCAGAAGAGGAGTAATTCCAACTAGTACTCTTCCCAAGTGGAACAAAAGGGACTTGCTCCATGATATACTAGTGCCCTTGAACCAAGAAAGAAAGGTGAGTACACTGACCAAAATTCACAGAACTTCATAGCTAGGTCAGCATAGTCTCACGAAGTGTGGCAGAGGGAGGTAGTTGTGCTCTTTCATGTGCTAAGTGTGTTAGAACCCACCCACGTAAATGTTGTGATAGCAAGAAAGGTTGCTTCATGTGTTGTCAAGAGGGTCATTTTATGAGAGAGTGCCCTAGGAGCAGGTAGGGTAGTGGAAATCCAGGCAATAGAGCCCAATCTTCATCAGTTGCTCCACCATAGAGGGTGGCACCTAAGGAGTCACTTTGGTACAAGTGGAGGGCTAAATCACCTCTATGAAATCACTAGCTTCCAAGAACGAGAGAATTGTCCAGATGTTGTTAATAGTATGATCTAAGTCTTTATTTTGATGTTTATGCTTTGCTACACCCAGGAACAAGTTTATATTTTGTAACTCCTTATGTTGTAAATAAGTTCGAGATTCATCCTGAGAAATTTAGTGAACCATTAAGTGTTTTCACACTTGTTGGTATGTCCATTCTAGCTTAGCGAGTCCATTGTGATTATCCCATTTTTGTCAATCACAAGAGTACCATGTCTGATTTAATTTACTTAGACATGGTAGAGTTTGATGCCATTCTTGGTATGGACTGGATTCATGCATGCTATGACTTAGTTGATTGTAGAACGCGAGTAGTCAAGTTTCAATTTCCAAATTAGCGAGTCTTAAAGTAAAAAAAATTCAATAGTGCCTAAGGGTCGCTTTATTTCGTACCTTAAGGCGAGGAATTTAGTTTCTAAGGGGAGTGTCTATCACTTAGTCCTAGTTAATGACTCTAGTGTGGAGATAATTAATATTTACTCGATTCCAGTGAAAAAAAAGAGTTCCTACATGATTTTTCTAGACTTTCTCTCTAGAGAGAGATAGAATGTGACATAACTATTCTTCTAGATTCTTATCGTATCTCTATTCCGCCATATAGAATGGCACTAATAGAATTAAAGGTGTTTAAAGAATAGCTGAAAGATTTTGTAAATAAAGGGTTCATTCGACCAAGTGTATCATCTTGGGGTGCTCTAGTCTTCTTGGTAAGGAAGAAAGATGGTACCCTTAGGATGTTATAGTTGCTAATTGAATAAGGTTACTATCAAGAATAAGTATCATCTTCCAAGGATAGATGATATTTTTGACCAACTAAAGGGGGCTTCCTGTTTATCAAAAATGTATCTCAGATCAGGCTACAACGAGTTAAAGGTCAGGAATGTGACATACAAAAGACAACTTTTAGAATCAGATATGGGCATTATGAGTATTTGGTCATGTCTTTTGGGTTGACTAATGCACCAACAACGTTCATGGATTTTATGAACACAATCTTCAAGCCTTATTTAAATATATTCGTCCTCATTGATGACATACTAATCTATTCAAGAATTGAAGAATATCATGCTAGTTACCTTAGGATAGTCCATCAGACTTTGCAAGATAAGTATTTGTGTGCACAGTTCTCCAAGTGTGACTTTTATCTTAAGTGTGTGGCATTGTTGGGCCACATAGTTTCGAGTGATGTAATTAGAGTTGATGCCCAAAAGATAGAAGTAGTCCAGAGTTGGCCTAGACCCACATATTCAAGTGATATAAGGAGTTTCGATGGTTTGTATTGCTACTATAGAATGTTTTTTGTAGGGTTTTCATCTATTTTGTCCCCTTTGACTAAGTTTACTTAGAAGACACTTAAATTTCAATTGTCTGAAGCTTGTGAGAAAAGTTTTCATGAATGGAAAATAAGTTTGTATACTACCAGTTTCAACTTAATGGAAGGTAATCAAGGTTCTGTGGTGTCTAGTGATGCATCAAGAGATGGTTTGGGTTGTGTTCTAATGAAGAATGGGAAAGTTATGGCTTATGCCTCTAGACAGTTGAGGGTTAATGAGATGAATTATCCAACCCATTACATAGAATTAGATGTCATAGTTTTTTTCCTTTAAAATAGGGCGTCACTATTGGAATGTCGTTCATGTTGATATATTCACTAATCATAAGAGCCTATAATATGTGTTCACATTGAAAGGGCTTAATCTCAGAAAATGGAGATAGTTAGAATTTCTTAAGGATTATGATATGAGCATTCATTACCACCCATGTAAGGCTAATATTGTCGCTGATGCCTTAAGAAATTTATCTACGTGTATTACCGTCCATCTATAAGAAGAGAAGAACGAAGTAGAAAAAGATGTGCATAGACTTGCACAATTAGGAGTCGAATTATGAATTATAATAAAGGAGGAAAAGTGGTGACCAATGGGGCTGAATCATCCTTATTGTCGAAAGTGAAGGAAACACAAGACCAAGACCCCATTTTTCTTGATGCAAATACAAATATTCATAAGCAATGATTATTAGCTTTTGAACAAGGGGGAGATAGTGTGCTGATGTATCAAGGCATGTTGTGTGTACCTAGGGTGGATGAACTCCAAGAAAGGATCATGGAGGAAGCTCATTGCTCCAAATACTCAAATCATCCGGGTTCCATAAAGATGTACTGCGATTTGATAGAGGTATATTAGTGGGAAGGTATGAAGAAGGACATTGTTGAGTTCGTTGCCAAGTGCCCGAGTTATCAGAAAGTGAAGGTAGAACACCAAAGACCTGGATGGTTGGTTAGAATATAAAACTTCTTGAATTGAAGTGGGAGATGAATAATATGGACTTTATCACAAGCTTATTAATGTATCGTAGACATAATGAAATAATTTGGGTGATTGTTGATAGAATAACAAAATCAACCCACTTTTTGCCTGTAAAGACCACTAATTCGATAGAGGATTATGAAAATATATACATTCAAGAGGTAGTGAGACTTTATGGAATCGTAGTTTTGATCATTTTAGATAGAGGTGCACAATTTACTGCTTAGTTCTAAAAGTCTATCTAGTAAGGTTTGGGTTGAAACGTGAACTTAACTACTATTTTTAATCCATAGGCGATTGGACAAGCGGAACATACTATCCATACCTCAAAAGATATGTTGAGGTCTTGTGTGATTGATTTAAAGGTGAATTAGGATGATCACCTACCCCTCATTGAGTTTGTTTAGAACAACATCTATCTTTCGAGCAGCAAAATGGCTCCATACGAAGCTCATTATGGAAAAAGATATAGTTCTCCTATTGGGTGGTTCAAATTGGTGAATTAGGGTTAATAGAACTTGATATAGTTCAACAAGTCTTAGAGAAGGTGAAGGTGAATAAAGATAGATTGAAAATGACACACAGTCGTCAAAAGTCCTATACTTATGTTATGAGAAGGCCATTGGAGTTTGAAGTTAGAAACTGGGTATATCCGAAATTTTTACTCTTGAAAGGTGTTATGAGGTTTGGTAAGAATGGAAAACTCAGTCTTCAGTATATTGGACCTTATAGAATATCAATGAGAATTGTCAATGTATATTATAAGTTGGAGCTACCACAAGAGTTAACAACTGTTCATTTTCATCTCTCCATTTTGAAGAAGTGTATGGCTGATCCTTTATTTATCGTACCAACTAAAAACGTTGGGATTAAGTATAGCTTATCCTATGAAGAGATTCTGGTAAAGATTTTAGCTCACCAATTTTCAAGTTGAGATCAAAGGAGGTTGCACCAGTCATGGTCCTTTAAAGGAACAAATTTGTTGAAGA